TAGGTATTTCATACAGGTGTGAGTATAACAAAAAGTTGCCCCCTGGTGGGGTTTTAATGAATTTAATTTAATTTTAATTGAACTACTGAGGACATTACAATCACAGAGCTGCGCAGTGGAAATAAAGATGTTAAGTGTGGGCCCTGTAATTAAATATCCCAGAAGTCCGATTTATGGACCGTGAGAGGTCTGATATGTTGTCCTCCTTCACACCTTCTTCAGCTTAATTCTAACACTTCTTAAAACTAATAGATGTGTCTATTTGAACACTCCATGAATTAAAATGTGCTGTTCTGATGAAAGATTGTGATATGAATTGATACTCTGTAAAACTGTAAAATTGCAAATAATAATATTGAAATATTGATTGAAAATATTTGTGAAACTGTTTGTTCAGGAAATATTTATCAAAAGTATGACTTCAAGATGTTTATATACACTGGATTTCGGTTAAGCCGATTATTCATGAATTCACCAACTTGATATTAAAAAATGTGATCATCAACACTCATTGTGTATACTTTGTATACTTCTTCAGTTAAACCAATACTCTTAAATTTACCAGTATTATACTAATGATACTGACAGCTGAAACACAGGATAATGAAAAGATGGTGATTTGTAAAAATACTGTATAATGAGTTGAATTGAGCTGTGATACAAGTAACAAATATAAACAATGTAATAACCTTTTTTGTGCACAATTTAACAATATTTTGAAAGAGAGAGTGAGAGAGTTGATTGTAAGATTGAATGTTCAAATTGGCGGTTTGTTCATTTTTAAAACTGCAAAGTCTCGGGAAAACCTAGCCTTGATGATTTTATTTATTTGTTTTGGATCACCAGACTCCCCAAAGATGTTCGTAACGATCAAACTGGCCAGTTTACAATTTAACCAAACAGGGACTATTATGTAGGTTTGTGATCTACATCACTCCTTGCTGATCAGTGCAACGGGGCCAATCGACTGCTGAGTCGATTATTTGATAATTTTTTTTATTTAGTATTTAATATTTATGAATTTAATGGGAGTCTATCCTCATGACCCTTTATCAACCCTAGCCTTCGACCGAGCACTCTGTTACCCCCATTTACGTAACACAATCAAACTCTCACTATTAAAAAATGTAATACTGTTCAAAAATTATTCTACACATGAAATACAAACGTTTTAAATAATAATACTGATGATGATAGAATCTGACTTTACATAGAATACAAAAATAATAATATCACAGACAAACATTGCTCTTTAAATTAATATACCATTTCAATTCAATTTAATAAATAATTTTCATTCGACTAGGTTCACTATTATAACTTAAATTCTTTGTATGACATGACCAAATTTAATAAAACATTTTATCCTGAATCGTGACCATGTGCTCTAAGTAGACCAAATGAAACATGAAAATCTCAGACCAAACAAAACATGATTCATAACTTGTAAAACGAGTGGTACATGTGAAAAAATGTGGCAGATTGGCAAGACTATTTTAACACCAAAACACAAATAACACAAACATTTACTTACGTACACATGTCGACACATTAACATTCATTCCGACGAAGATTCACGCGTACCGAACATTTAAAAACTGACTCGTGGTTTTGTGACTTTTTGTCTGACCGGGCGGAATATCACGACACGGTTTTTTCTGGTGTAGGACTTATTAATTCTTGTTTTTTCGAGCTGGCGTTTAATGATTCAATTGAAAATACCGTCACGACGACCCGCGATTCGCTAGAAACTGACATTTGCTATCGATATGATGCATGTACGAATTTTCATCACGAACGCGAACAATCAATCCGGCATCTCAACTGTCTCGACTTAATACTAATAAAACACACACCCAAATGCAATTCGGCGAAATTTTGACAATTGCGATCGTTTGATGCACGTACAATTTCCGCCCGAACGCTAATTTCCGAGCTACGAATTAAGATATTAATAAATTCGTCCTACACCAGCGACAAAACGCGACTTCACATGTTGACTACGCGAGTACTGAGCCACGAGTGACGAGACGACGAGACGCTTTGCAGACGACGCGGTTCCCAACGGTCTTCGTATCCTTCCGCGTTACGTCATGTTTGACTGACTTGTCCATTGCCTGTCGCGGATTTTAAATCTTTTGATTTGAAAATCGGCACAGAAATCTCCCCTGCCAAAAAAATTGGCCCGAGCGACCTTCAGGTCCGCACGAAGGCCTTTTCCATCCCGGGACAATTTCGACCCGGCGCGACGACGCTTGACGTGGCAACAGACGCTTCATTCATACGACACATTTTTTTGTTGATTTTTTCTTTCCATTGATTTACATTTAATACATTTAACACGAAACAATTTTACACATAAACATTTGAAATTTGAATAACAAAAATAGAAAATCTGAAACTTTAACAATAATAAACATTTTGCTTTGAGGTCGGTACTGAGAAATTAAAAATTGTTGTCAACTAACACCTTGTGTCATAAACCAAAACTGCATCAATCCATCAACAATTTGAATGGTGTAAACGCGCACGCTTAACACACTGTAGAATTATCTATCTAGCATTCAGCGTTGAGTAGATGTCAACAATCAGTTCATTGACCCGTAGCGCAGTCGACAGTCAGCTGTTGCCGATGGAGTGGGCGGGGGCGGGGGACATTGTTGTGGTGAACGGCCCGATGTCTGCCTGTCTGTGCGGGTAGGTTCTGTTCTACTCTCGCCCCACCACAGCTGGAACGTGAGCTCTGTTCGTCATCCTTCATGTCGCTCACAGTGGTTACATAATATGACTCATAATGATTCATTGTTTCTCAAAATATGTAATTATGAAAATGTGTAAAACAATTGACCTCAGTTTGACTCTATTTACTCAAAATTGAAAACTATTGCACATGTAAATATAAATGTAAATATAAATAATCTCTGTACGAATATGACACAAATAAATAAACAAGTAAACAAACACAGAAATATCAATGTGGATAATTGCCTTAGAGATAACAACTGATACCCTTATCAATGCCAACCTGCCATGGTAGTAATGCCAATCTGCTTCCTTGTTACCAGACCTCTCAAATTAGTGCTACCACTTTTTGTAAAGAAAAAAAGAGAAATTCTTTACTTATATTCAAAATATACTCTTTACTTAATTGATCATTCCATCAAGCAAAATCACCTCACACCTTTATGTAATACAATTTAGGTATTTCATACAGGTGTGAGTATAACAAAAAGTTGCCCCCTGGTGGGGTTTTAATGAATTTAATTTAATTTTAATTGAACTACTGAGGACATTACAATCACAGAGCTGCGCAGTGGAAATAAAGATGTTAAGTGTGGGCCCTGTAATTAAATATCCCAGAAGTCCGATTTATGGACCGTGAGAGGTCTGATATGTTGTCCTCCTTCACACCTTCTTCAGCTTAATTCTAACACTTCTTAAAACTAATAGATGTGTCTATTTGAACACTCCATGAATTAAAATGTGCTGTTCTGATGAAAGATTGTGATATGAATTGATACTCTGTAAAACTGTAAAATTGCAAATAATAATATTGAAATATTGATTGAAAATATTTGTGAAACTGTTTGTTCAGGAAATATTTATCAAAAGTATGACTTCAAGATGTTTATATACACTGGATTTCGGTTAAGCCGATTATTCATGAATTCACCAACTTGATATTAAAAAATGTGATCATCAACACTCATTGTGTATACTTTGTATACTTCTTCAGTTAAACCAATACTCTTAAATTTACCAGTATTATACTAATGATACTGACAGCTGAAACACAGGATAATGAAAAGATGGTGATTTGTAAAAATACTGTATAATGAGTTGAATTGAGCTGTGATACAAGTAACAAATATAAACAATGTAATAACCTTTTTTGTGCACAATTTAACAATATTTTGAAAGAGAGAGTGAGAGAGTTGATTGTAAGATTGAATGTTCAAATTGGCGGTTTGTTCATTTTTAAAACTGCAAAGTCTCGGGAAAACCTAGCCTTGATGATTTTATTTATTTGTTTTGGATCACCAGACTCCCCAAAGATGTTCGTAACGATCAAACTGGCCAGTTTACAATTTAACCAAACAGGGACTATTATGTAGGTTTGTGATCTACATCACTCCTTGCTGATCAGTGCAACGGGGCCAATCGACTGCTGAGTCGATTATTTGATAATTTTTTTTATTTAGTATTTAATATTTATGAATTTAATGGGAGTCTATCCTCATGACCCTTTATCAACCCTAGCCTTCGACCGAGCACTCTGTTACCCCCATTTACGTAACACAATCAAACTCTCACTATTAAAAAATGTAATACTGTTCAAAAATTATTCTACACATGAAATACAAACGTTTTAAATAATAATACTGATGATGATAGAATCTGACTTTACATAGAATACAAAAATAATAATATCACAGACAAACATTGCTCTTTAAATTAATATACCATTTCAATTCAATTTAATAAATAATTTTCATTCGACTAGGTTCACTATTATAACTTAAATTCTTTGTATGACATGACCAAATTTAATAAA